TTATTATTATTATTATTATTATTATTATGCATATCAAAAACATCAAATAGGTTTCATATTGGAGATTTTAACTTTTTCTTATTTGTATTGAAAATATTTTTAATAGTTTAGTTTAGTTTTAAAATTATTCATTTTTATCAATAGAAATTGTTAATAATTGTAAATAATTTAGGAGACGGAATTAATGAAATTGATTGGACTCAAGAGCTTTATTTATCATTCGTGATATTTTTAGCGTTTTTTGATTGCAATATAATTTGATTGCTTTGAAAGCGATTAATGATGTTATATGATCTGTTTTAAGTTATTAAAATTATGATCAAATTTAAAAACGACTAGATGCTTATATTTTATAAAGATATATCAAAATTATATAAATCATTTCGCAGTAAATCTATTGATAATTTAATATGTCACACTTTTTTCTCTTTACACACTTTCCATTGAATCTGAATTCATAACACATATCTAATTTAATCGATTTTAGACCGATTCAAACTCGTAGGCAATAACTTTATGTTAATGAATAGGTAGGCGACAATGCGACAGTTTGCTTCAAAGCTGAACCATGGAAGGACTTTTGCGTGGAACCGCCATGTGGTCAATTGAATCCTACCAGTGAAAGGATGTATGAGATTCTTGAAGGAATTTACAAGGATATGATGGAAGATTTTCAACAGCCAGACATCTTCCACATGGGCGGCGATGAAGTAAATATCAACTGCTGGAAATCCCAAAACATCATCACCGATTGGATGCAAAAGAAAGGATGGGATCTTAGCGAGAGTAGTTTCTATCTATTGTGGGACTACTTCCAGGAAAGAGCTCTGGAAAAACTGAAGATTGCCAACGGTGGCAAAGATATTCCGGCTATTTTGTGGACCAGCGGATTAACGAGTGAGGAGAATATTAAACATCTGGATCCTGCAAAATACATTATCCAGATTTGGACAACTGGGAGTGACCCAACTATCGGCAGGCTACTTAAAAATGACTTCAAGATTATTTTCTCAAATTACGACGCTTTATATCTTGACTGTGGGTGAGAAAATATTATGAAATGACATATATTTATCTTCATTATCATAAGCCGTAATATAGTATTTTTAAAACAATTTTATGATTAAATATTAAATATAATGCATATATGAAATATAATATTCTTTTATATATACAAATTAGCATTGATAATTATTGTTTGTGCTATATTACTTATATTTTCTTTTTATAATTAAATATTAATTATATTTTTCTCTTCTCGATTCTTAGATTTGCAGCTTGGGTAGGCGAAGGTGTCAATTGGTGCGCGCCTTATAAGGGCTGGCAAACGATTTACGATAATTCTCCATTGGATATGATCAAGAAACAAGGTTACGGGAATAAGAAGCATCTTATTTTAGGTAAAGTTCCTAATGTAATCTTATTAATATTTTATGAACTGTACGAGATTATATTAATATTAACAGATTAAATAACAGATTAAAATTACATTAATTGCATTATAATTACTTAATAAAAAATTGTTGACGTTTTTTTCATGAACACGCATTAAAGAAAGGAACAATATTTAGAAATATTGTTAAGAGTTCTAGTTGAATTAAATTTGATAAAGAAATGTATACAATGGATGATAAAAAAATAATATAGATTTATTAAAATATTATTTTGTAATTGTAGAAATATTTGTTTATAAAATTTATTTCACGATGTCAATATATGCTAAAATAACTGCGATAAGATTGATAAATAATTTTATTTCCTATATATATATATATTTTTTTTTCTTCAGGTGGAGAAGCAGCGCTTTGGACCGAACAGGCTGATAGCGCGAACACCGATTCTAGATTGTGGCCAAGATCGGCCGCGATGGCTGAAAGATTGTGGAGCGAGCCGGACTCCAAGTGGCATCATGCCGAACAGAGAATGTTGAGGCATCGCGAAAGACTCATCGAACGAAAAATCTACTCGGATAGTTTACAACCTGAATGGTGCATACAGAATCAAGGCTCGTGCTATGCATAAATCCTAAAGATATTATAAAAACTGTCTACATAATCGCTCCTACATAATCCTTTACCGTTTCTAGACATTTTTAATATTGAAATAAAGCATGTTGTTTTAATTCTGTTAACGTTTTATTTTTTTTTCTTAGATTTTTCTCTCTTTATCTTTCTTTCTTTATCTTCAAATCTAAAGTAACTATTCTAATACAAACGACATTAGGGTCGTGTCGATTCTTTGACAAAACATACGAAGGTACAATATAACCCCCAACAATTGACGTTTGCTAAACAGTAAGGCATACTATTCAAAAATAAATGAGAAGATCGAAATTGTAAATGTATTGTAGTCTGTAATTGTATTCTGCAGTCCTTTCAATTCTTTAATATCAACTGCCTGTAGTTCAGTAATTTGGCGATAGCCGAATCGTATCGCGCAAAACGATTGCTTCTAACTTAAGCGTATATTTTTTTTTACATGTTTAACTTTGTATAATTTGTCTAATTCATTTTTTTTGTTACATTTTTTTGTTACATTTAAATTAGAGAGAAAAGAGAAAAAGAAAAGATTTATTTTTGATATACGAGGAG